AATAACCTCGATTCACTTGCTCACACCTCCTTGTTTAGAAAACCGCCTCCAAGCAGGACCTTGCCGGCAAAATGGCCCCAGAAACCAACCCCGTACACGCCTCGCCCCACAAAAGACACTCTTCCAAAGACACCATATGTGACAGCTCGCCTTGGATCAACCGCCGCGTTCTCGATAGCCAGACCGACCAAGAGCTGCGCGCAGCATGCCGCCTCATCCTCAAGAACTTCAAGCCCTCCGACCATGGCATGGAGAACACCGATCCAAAGCTAGACTTTGCCGGCTTAGGCTTCAGGCCACGCAAAGAAAGCAAACCCCAGCCCGCCGATCTCAATGTGCGTGTGCCTGCTGCTGCCCCTCCAGAACCCGCCTCAACTTCGTTCCTGCCACGATCGCGCAGCACAAAGGTCCGCACCAGGGCAAAGGCAGACATGGAGATAAGAGCGAGGCAGAACGGTGATCTGCCCGCACGAGCAAACAGCAGCCGCAAGCGTGCTGAGCGAGACGCTGAAAAGGATGAAAGACTACGCAACTTTGGCAAAGCTTCCATGGACGTACCCAGGCCCGCTATATCCTGCATCTCCAACGAAGACATTACTCTTCCCGTCACCGTCATGTCCACCCTAGCAACCTCCAAGAATTCTGCCCCTCACAACTTTGACGACCCTGTTGCTGCTGCAGACGCCCAGGCGTCCGAGTGGATGCGCCTAGAAATGGACAAGAAACGCCAACAAGACACGGCAGATCACCAGCGCCGATCCTCGACATCGGTCCGCCCCCCAAGCCGCGCCGCGAGTATCAAGGAAAGCGTCATCGAATATGTTTTCCCCGGATCTCGAAGTCGCGCCCTCAGCCGCGCACAATCCAAGGAATCCCTGCGTTCGCCAGCCGACAGTAATGATACTGGCCTTTCCCGCACTGGCTCAAATGCGACATGGCGAAGTTGGGGTCTGCGCCGCATGAAGAGTACGAGAAGTGAAAACAGGTCAGGGTCTTCCCATGGCCAGGGAGACGACGGTGCACAACCTAGAAAGTCAGAGTCAAATGCCGTCAACCTCAACAGAGAGCTTCCACCGTTGCCCAGTCTGGACAGCTGGAAGGAACCTGAAAAGCCCAAGCCAGAAGTGGCATCTCCCAAATCACCTACAGCCGAGACGCACATTGCCAGTCTTATGCGTCCACAGGAACAGCATCCAGAACGCTCGCCTGCCGCACGGAAACAGCACAGGAGGAGTGGGTCAGACACTTTGGCCATGCAATACACTGCCGCCTTCCCCGCTCGCCAATCCTCGCGCCGGCAGGGCACGCAGCCAATTTCCCAAACGCCCACAAGTGCCGTACCCGCCAGCGCTGTATCAGCCAGTCCCAAACCAACCGAAAAACTCGCAGCAACAAACGCATCCTCATCTACCACCAACATCGACCAACAACAACAACACACCAAAACCGCCTCTTCAAGCTCCCAGACCCGCCCCCGCAGCGGCGAAAGCAACACCACAGCCCACGCCTCCAACTTCTCCCACCGCATGAGCATCGACTCCCCTGCCGTCCTCAAAACCCTGTCCCACGAACCCAAGGCCCCCGCCAAAGAAGAGCAGAAATCCAAGCTCAAAAAGATCTTCAGCGGCTGGATCCACAAAAAAGATAAAAAGGACGATTGGATGCACAAAATGGAGAAGGAGGGCATTAAGGAGGGCGTCCTGGTGCAGGATAGTAATGATGTGCTTGCTGCTCCTGTTGTGAGGTATTAATCTCCTTTCTTTCTTTCTTTGTTTCTTTGTTTCTTTGAGGGCTTACTACTACTACCACCACTACTACTACTATTACCATAACTTTTACTTTCCTCCCTTTCTGGGTTCACTTTCGTTTCGTCTCTGTATCAAACAACCACTTAATTTGTTATACCCTTTTTCTTTCTCTTCGTCCTTCTTTTTCTTTTATTGGGTCGAGGAAATTCAAGGAGATTTTTTTTATGTGTGTGTGTGTCCTTGGGGTTTTGTACGGTGAAGACAAAAGCTACATTTACACACTACTTTCATATACATACATATATATATGTTATGACCAATAATGCATATATGCTTTGCAATAATGGGAAAACTTTCATTCATCTTTTTTGGTTGGATTTTCAAAAAGTAAAAAAAGTGTCGTTGTGTACTCTTTCTATTTCCCCTCCCCCCCCCCTTTTCTTCTTCTTCTTCTATATTTACATGTCAACATATGCATTACTGGAAATACTAGCATTCAAAAGAACTCAAAATTCAACTTTTGGGGGGGAGGGGGGGGGTTTGTGGAAAATAGGAAGAAAAAAAAGTCTCAAGTCATATTGTTCCAAAAACTGTACGTCATACCAAACTACCCTTCACTATAATGGTCAACAGTTTCACTTTTTTTTTTCTTAGGCACTTTTCTCCATGTCACATCATACAGGCTAGGCATATATGGAACCATCATTAGAATGCCTTTGTACACAATACTACCAATAGCATACCATCCATCCACCATCTAATACACGCTATCTATGTATGTCATTCCGCTAACCCCTTTGCTAAACCCATGAACCATAACCGTAAACCCTATCCGATAACCCATAAACCATGCGTCGTCCATGACGCTCAATCATGCGCCTATACCCTATGCTGCAGCACCCTCAACAACGTACCCAGACTTCACGCTCCAAACAGGACCGCCTGAATCATCTGCCTTAGCCTACCAACCACCCTTCGCACCATGCCCTGCACCCGGCGCGCGATCCAGATGTTGACATGCACAATCAAAAGCCCCACGATCAAAGGCATCAGGAAGAACAAGAGCGTGTAGGCCGGTCCCATCACCGCAAAAGCCACCACATAGTCAATGAACCGGTCCTCGTACTCGACCAAATCGTCTGGGTCGAAAAGGGCTAGCGGCTGCCGATCGTCTACCATTCCGCAGGCACCTGCTTCCTTCCTCGAGCTACATTCCATTAGCCATGTCATTTCTCAAACTGAGACAACAGGGACGGGCGTGGACAGGGAAATCACCACCTGTCCACTCCTGACCCTCCTGACAAGACAGTGTTGAAAAAGTTGCCATCGCCCCCGCCTCCATAACTGCCACCGGGGTATCCACCACCCCCTCCGTACCCGCCCATAGCGCCCATGCGGTTTTTACCTTGGTTCTTTCCATGTTCGACAATAGAACTCTTACGGCCAAATTCTTTGGCTGCCGATACTGAGTTTGTAATAGATGCTAGCAAGTTGACCAGCTGAACATCAGAAGCCTCTTGCTGAGATTCGAGGGTAAATGCAGCAGCGTCCGGGGGGGCAAGAATGTTGATTCGAGCGAGCATAGCGGAAATGCTACGAATAATCGAATGATCCAGAGGCAATGAATGTTGCTCGTCTAGTGTAGGATTGATTGGGAGCGACGCATCGGACAGATATGACGGTGGAAGCGAGTTGAGGTAGGCGCGGAGCAGAGCTATACGTCGACAAAGCATACGAATAGCGTTCATCTTCGCTGTAAGGGTAGACAAAACTACAGGTCGGTCAGTACTTCTACAACATGTCCACAGTCTTGGAGATGAACTTGCTCTCTTCGTCATCTGCACTCAAAATCTGTGACTCCTCGATTGGAGCATCTTCCGCCACCTTCTCTTTCTCTTTCTGTTTGCCCCGCGTGATTCGTTTTCCAGCATCTTCGTCATTCGCTGAAGCCTCGGCATTCGATACGGGAACGTCGACTGAGCCCTCGACCGCAGTTGCGTTTCCTCCACCACGGGCAACAAAGTCCACAGATATCATCTCGGCCTCGCCAGTTTCGATAGAGTATACTAGCTCCCGGAACTTGGTTGACTTTGGTTGTACTGCGCCATCGACATCCATGACCTTATCGTTCGGTTCGCTCGACGTGCTGACAGAGACGGATTCGTACACTGTAAGTGGCAATTTCCCGGCAGCAGTTTCCTCAGAGAAGGCATTCTCAGGGTGGAAGAGAACAAGTAATGGTGATTCGGTATAGACTTCAGATATCCGTGAATGTATAGGAAGAAGGTGCGGCTCGGGGCCAGAGGCGGGACCGAGGGTGAACCATCCAACAATGTCGAGTTGGGGCTCTTTGTGCACATCCTTGACTGCCATCTCCGTAAGCGTCCGTTTGGATATACCTGTCAGGAGCATGGGGGCACGGCTTACAATCCTCGATCCGCTTGCTGAACCAATCGTCATCGAGCGTTGTTTCGCCGTCCTCGTTTGACTGGAGTTTTGCTTGGAAAGCGACCTCCATAGTGATATTCTGTCCATCTTGTGCCCCCAATATAGCACCAACTACCGGCCCTGTCTGCTGTCGTAGTGTGTGCCGTGTTACACAATCAGTTATTGTGAGGAGGACTAGCGGGTGAAGCTGGACTGTGGGACTGGCGTCAGAGGCGCGGGTGGTTGAAACAAGCGGGTTTCCCGATGATTCCGCCATTTTTGCTGTGTACACAAGGTGGCTTGTGTGATGCACACACTGGGGGGATCTGAAGGGGCAATTAGAAGTTAAAGGTGGAGGTGGAGGTGCAAGGCAATGGCGGCGGTATCGTCAATGGCGGGGAGCTTGCTAGGCTGCAGCTGCTACAGTTCGTGGGGTTGTGCCAAGCCGCTAGTCTGGAGTTCTAGCGGGCAACTAGACTGCTACTATGTGACGCGATTCTGCCAACGACAACCAATCTCTTCACAATTTCACAACTCCATCCATTGCTCCTTAATTGATTATCATTTATCATGTTTTCCAGCTCAGTACAGATCGGAAACTTTCCTTCGTCAAACTTTACCCCAGTTGACATCCCAGAATACTCTACTCCGGATGCGTACTACTAAAAAAGAAGCGAGTGGTATCTCAGTCTTGAACAGAATCCCAAAATTATCCTGCGAACGCCTGGCTACAACAAGTAGCACTCCCATTACATCCTCAAACAGTCTCTAATACCCATATTGGTTCTTGAGGGAAAAATGTACACAATTACAGGTCAGCCGTATTTACATCTCAACAAGGACCTTGACAACCAAGTTACCGTCCTTATCCATGGTCTTTCCGGCGAGCTCGAAAGCTTCTTTGGTTGAAGCGAGGCCGTGATATCTTATCGCAAATCTTAGCCGCTATTCTGTTCTTAGGATGTAAGATTACTCACCTGTGCGTAATCATGTTGTCGAGGCTCGGGAGGACACCTGCGGACAGGATCTTGATACCTGTTGGGTAGGTGTTTGCATATCGGAAAATTCCGATGATGTCGACTTCTTTTAGATGTGATGCTGACATGGGAAGAGTTTGAATCGGTGTTCCCATGCCGACCATGATCAGCTTGCCGCCGGGTCTAGTTGCCTGTGGGTTGGTTAGCATTGGTTCCACAGCAACTCCAAGGGTTCACTTACATAAAGTCCGGCCTGCATGCACACCTCCTTACCGGTGCAGTCAAAAGTCACATCGGCGCCTTCAAAGTCAATCTCGTTCAGCGACGCAATCTGCATAATGTCTGCAGCAAGCTCCTTTGCAGCAGCAAACTGTCCTGCTCCTTCGGTCGATTGTGCCTGTGCAGTCACAATGTAACCCTTATTCGCGAAGCCGTTCGCTAGAGCATAATTTATGCGTCCATAATCGATATCGGCAATAACAACCGTTGTGGCACCAGACACCTTGGCCATGGCAGCAGTCAGAAGACCAACAGTACCTGCGCCGAAGACGATTGCAGTGTCACCCTGCTCAATCTGAGCTCTCCTAGTTGCATGGATTGCAACTGAAAGAGGCTCCAATAGCGCAGCCGACTCCATGGACACGTGTGAAGGGAGTCTGATTAGAGTTGTCAGCTAAGGCTCGGGATTCGGGTCGATCATGCACAACATACTTGTGGCACCATTTTGCAGGATGGTTGATGCGTTCCTGAAGGGTCCCCTGAAAGTGTGGGACAGATTTGGCACTACTTCGGAACCTCATCTTAGGGCATAGGTTGTAGCGGCCCCTCTGGCATGACCTGCAGTTATCACACGGCACACCAACCTCGAGTGCGACGCGGTCGCCAATCTGGTAGCCAGTGACATTATTGCCGATGGCCACAACAATCCCAGCAGACTCATGGCCTAGCGATAAAGGCTCACAAGCCTGCAGATCGCCGTTGCGGAACTTGCTGTAGTATGAGCAATCACTGCCGCACAGCCCGGTGGCTTTGATAGCGATCTGGAGTTCATTGGCGGCGGGATCTGAGATTGTTCGAGTTTCCTGTTTGAACCTGTCAGCCTGCCGTCTCGGATGTTCGTTGTATACGAATGACACCCCCACGGGCAGTGGGTAGGCGTGGGGTGGGATAACGAAAGCGGAAGGCATACCAACCGCAAATCCCTTGGCCCATGCAAGACCGACGCTACGACGGTCGAGGACTTTGTGTAGTGCCTTGCTGGGATTGGGCAGATATCTGCTAGAGCTGAGGGCGCCATTACGTGAAAAATATAAAAGTAGTGGGAGCTGTGGCAATGGTACGGGAAAAGGAGAAGGAGAAATGGCTAGCAGGAGCCCACCCCACGGGAGCGTGGAGGCTGATATACTTGTTGAGAAGACGCGTTTCGATCCATAGTAAATGGGCTTGCCTCAGATTCGTGCATCGGCGAGATAATGGCATCGCATGAGAGGAGACTTGAAGGTTCCACGTCATTTGCTAGGCGGCTCAATCTGGCGGGACAAGCAAGGTCAAGGGTGGACAACCAAAATGTACTTGGTACGGTAGCCTTTGCCTAGTCATTTCTTCATACCGTTACTCTGGTAGTATACGTGAGGCTAGATCGTCTTGTGGGTACGCTGCGGGGAGCATGTGCAATTCGACCGAAGAGCTAGCGGCAACTGGTTTTGGCCCGTCTTAAGTCGTTCTGCCGAATCAACAGCTACCAACGGCCGGAGCATGCATACATAGGATGCGATATATGAGCAGTAGTCATATTGTGGTGTCTATTGTGGACGGGCCTTTTGGCGATGCCCGTCTATCAGAGACGAAGTTGGCGTTGTGAAACGGCGATAAGGCACTCTGCGCAGCTGTGGAGCTTGCCTTCAAAGGTTCCGTTGGGATTGCTTTGAGTGGATCAGTCCGTTCTTGTGGCCCTGTCGCTGCATGGATCCCTGGATGATATGCAGGAAACATCAGCCTGATATGCGGGCTGTCCTTTGTCGAAGGTGCCAGCCGTCAAGCCATATCTCCACAATAAGTCTTCCGAGAACCCCAGTACAACGTCAGTGCTGGACTCCCAGGGCCTATCTGCCGACGGAAGAATGCGAACGTTGACTGGCTAGAATACTTGGCTGGGTTTCCAGAAGACCTTTGGAAGCCCCCTGGAGCAATCAAACCTCCTGGGATATAGTAGTGTCCTAGTATTCAATAGTGCGAACGACTCACACTCGACCGTGCGCCTCTTCGCCAAGAGTCTCGGTGAGGTAAGATGCTTATCCTATAGCGTGCTACCTTGGGGGATGCCAGGGCAACAGTGTGTGTGGTCAAAACCCGTTGGCTGGATGTCGGCTTGTAGTAGGTCGGACGGGCGCAGTGGTGCACCTACCATGGAGCAGCTACTTACTAGTTCAACCAAAGGCATGAACTCGCGACCGACCTGTCGGAACAAGAAGACGTACATAAGGCTTCTTATCGGAGCGACTCCAGAATCAACTGCACAAACGACTGGCCAAAGGCATATCAACCAGCTACCAGCTGCAGCTGCGACCGAGGAGCGGCCACCAACAGCCAAGGGGATTTGACATGTGTCACTGGCTTCTGCATGAACATGACGAGAAGGCACCGATAACGCAATGCAATGCTTTGCCGGATCTGCCAATCTGACCGAGACATGAGGTTGAGCATGGTCCACCCGCAATCGAGAGGAATAACGGTGATCGTGGCCGCATGGTAGGAACCACTAGACAGGGGTGGGCCACGAGCGAGATGAGAGGTCGTTGGGGCAAGCCGTAGGTACCACGGAATGAGGATATATCTCTCCGACCGTTTGGCACAGACGCCCCTACGGGACGGCAAAAGCACACGTCTGAGAGCCGTTCCTTTGCACATGGTCGAACCTAGTACGACAGAGCACCATGGTGGCTCCAGCCGTCCTTGCAGCTGGAAATATACCAACCACACACGTACTCAAGGCACAATACGAGCTCGCCACGAGATGCTATTGTATAATATGCATGCTGATAAGACGCGATCACATACGAGTCGCACGTATTGACTACTACCTCGACTTGCTTCGTGACACTACTCAAGACCCTGCCGATAGCCCGTACGAACCCTGAGATCATGCATCACCAAGCAGCCAAATCCTCGACCTCGCTGCATGGGCCTTTGAAAGCAGAAGGCGGTGAGTCTGGTCAAGCATTGCGCACCCATCCGCAACTCGAATTTTAGTACTACCCACTCGCGCGCGCTTTATCGCAACTTGCGTCAAGCATCTATATCTCAGGCACCGGCATTTGCGTCGCAGCGGTGAGCGGGTAGATCTTGGTTTTTTGCCGCCAGAAACCTGGGACGACGAGTCAATCTTGATCCTGGGGTTGTAGCCGCTGCTAGAGGCGGTCTGCCTGCTTGACGTAACGGGACTGCATCCTCCTATCGCACCCAGGGTACGTATACCACCCAATCCTAAAGAAGCTACAGATATTGCGGACGTACGGCTCCGCCCCAATCCATTGGCAACACCCTCATCGCGCCGAGTACAATTCACAACCACCAGATAGCCACAAGGTACAACGCAGTGACACCACTGGCTATCCTCTGCAGCACGAATCCCAATCCTCTGGGTGGCGCACGGACGGGGACCTGCATCCTGAATACCTTGTACCAGGAAAGTAACATGTTCCAAGGTATCTTTTCCACCGACAAAATAAATATGGTGATTACGTATTCGCTTGGAAGAATACACGGCAACGCTAACGGATGAGCGTTCGAATCAAGACGGGACAAGAACACAGGATTGGGGAGGATTCAGAACACCCGGTTGCACGTCAATGACGGGCCAAGTGCCTAGTACTACTACTACTACTTTTGCCGTTCTGTGAGAGGTTAGAACCTCCGGAGATACCGAGGAAGTTACCACCATCACAGCACGCTTCGCAACGCCTCATTTTTGAGGGTAAAAAAGAGCCGATGGGATGCCAGTGCGTTGTAAGCGAATATCGGAGATTGCACAAGACATGGCAAAGTTTTGTCTGATACAAGGTGAAGTGAAAAGAGTCATCGTCTCAATTGCCACGTTAGGAATCTTGCATTTGACCGATAGGTAAGGAATGCCGACCACCGACGACTACATGTAATTAGCAAGCAAGACGAGATGGTGACGCAGGCCAATCTGCAACACGGCCTTGAGTGCGGCCTTAGCAGGGATCGACTCGACATTCAAACCCTCATTTACTCGACATGCAGTTTGCAGTCAGCAACTCGTCAGCAGCGAGCCGTCAGCAAAAACACCAAATCCACATTGCCGAAAACTCTAATTAAACAGCCCTCGTGTGCTGCGACATACTAGCGTACCAACACCCCGATGTCGCTTGATGGCAAGGAATGCAATAGAAAGCACGCGTCGGACCAAATGACGGATAGAGCCGCAAAGATGCAGTTACAATTGCAACCACCTTGACTCCCTATGCATGTACTCGGTATTACTGTGTGTACCTAGAGACGATCTTGCCACCTCAACCCTACGGTCACTGTACCACCAGTCATGCGACACGGAAACGATATAGAAGCAATTCCGTTTAGGCGAAATTCCATGGGGCTCCACTACTCCTTGCATGCACCACTGCACACTCGTCACCCGGGCGAACCGTAAGGGGGTCCAGAAAAAAAAACATGCTCAGACCACACAGACGTACCCACAATAGCTTCGTATCTAAGTACAAGCCGTTTCAAAGTAGGCGGAATTACGGTTATTGTATCCCCGTGGGATTCTACATATTGTGCTATGCTAGCGCATCCTTTCTAGATCCGTCCCAAACACCCCGGTTTCTACAATTGACTGTTTGGCTGCTTGTCTACTAGGCCTTGCGCCACAAACCATTGGCGGATAATTTGATTCACTTCGTCTGGCTTCTGTATCATGGCCCAGTGCCCAGTTGCCACCTCGCCTCTGGTGAGCTGTGGGATGAAGTTCTCCATGCCCTTTGACAACTCTGGCGTGAGGACCATGTCTAGCATTCCTTGAATAAAGAGAACAGGCTGCGTAATGGTCTTCTTGTCAAGCAGCTCTTGCTCTTCTTCCCAGTTCAAGCGGCGTGTGCGGTACCAGTTGACTATATTGGGCAACCGGGTTAGTTGGAGGATTTCGCTATGCGAGTGTTGGGTAGGAGTATAACGTACGGGTAGGATGAATGCCGTGGTTAGAGTATTGCTTGACGTAGTAGTCCAGGACCTAATTCGCTGTCAGCACACCATGGCTTGAGGGATAGCGGTATCCACGCCTTTCTCTCTGAAACAAGACAATGACGACAGCTGGTGACCATGACCCGTAGCGTGGGTCACGACCCTGTCGAGCAAAACAAAAAAGGAGCCGATCTTCTGGATTTCGTGCCGGCAATCCTGCACCGAATACCCAGACGGGTAACAATGGCTGCCGAGCACGCCTCGCTTCTGACCCATTATCACTGCCTCGAAAGAGCAGGAATCTTTGCCTTTCACCCGGTTTCCCCGGCTTTTAACCTAGGAAGAAGCAAGAAAAAGGTTTGCCTCTCGACACGCGTCCCAGCATAAAGAGATCAACAACGTACCTTTCCCTTCAGGAGCACGCCTTCTCCGACCTTTGCCAAGTTCTCGGATAGCACACCCTTGGTGGGATTGAAGACAACTTCACCATTTGGTCCCTTGGCGCCATACATGCCCTTTAGGAACTGTCTGATAGTCTCCTCATCCTTGATCACCTTCTCCACCTCGCCAGACGCAAGGTGCATCTGATATGCGAACTGGGGTACAGGTCCCTTGACAATGTCTTCAATGGCAAAGTACTTTTCAGACGGCGCAGCATACGGCGTGCAGATTGAAAAGACGTGAGTGATCAGCTCGGGGTACCTACATGTGTCTGGTCAAACAAAAATGTTCTGATCGCGATTAGAAAGTGGGTTATGGAGATTTACCATTGAGCAGCACGCCAGACAACGGCACCTCCCCTATTCCCGGTATCAGTAAATCGTTCCTCGTTTCGAGCACAATCGTCGATGCGACGCTGTACAACTCACCAATCATGACCTCCCAACACAATCTGCGGCGCCTCGACTTCCTTGGCCAGCGCAGCAATGTCGTCTGACGCCCTCTTCATGCCGTATAGATTGAGCGGGTTGGGAGGGGCTTGAGGAGCAGCCTATACGCAGCAGGATCAGCATTTTTCGCCTTTCACGAAGGGTATCATCCGAGGAGGAAAAGAGAAAGAGAAGCATGGAAAACTCACAGTTCCGCCGTATCCCATCATATTCGGTGCTACGACGCGAAATCCCAAATCCAGCAGAAGCGGGATCTGGTATCGCCATCCCATGGCGAGATCAGGCCATCCATGGATCTAGGGTTTGATGCGTTAGCCGAGTTATTCGGAGTATCCAACGAGTTCCATCTCTCTCTCTCTCTCTCTCTGCAATAACTACTATCCCAAAGCCACATTGTCCTTCTATTTCTCCTTCTATTTCTTTTCCTCTCTTCAGACAACCCATGGTTCCTCCGACTATAAAAGAGAAAAAAAACACACATACCAGAAAAACAGTCTTCTTCCACTCCCCCGACTTGGGCACACCATACAAATACTCGTACGTCTGTCCATTCAGCGTCGCCGTCTTGACCTCGATGCGCGAGTCAGACTCTGGGTTGATGGGTTCGATGCTCGCCATCTTTCTTTTCGTCGTTTCACTCGATTCCAGAAAGAAAGAAAAAAGGCTATAGTCACACTAGGAAAAGAAAAGAATCCCTCGTCCGTCCTAACACACAGATGAAGACGGGAAGATGTACAAGGTATATGTTTTAGATGGTAGTGAAAAGCAGGAGAAAGAGCAGTAGTTGATATGCGTTCTCTCTCTCTCTCTCGGAGAGCTGCTCAAAGTAGAAGTTTGTACGGTAGCTTGCCTTCGTACGAGGTGTGAAGCAAAAAAAGCGGATATGCCGAGGCAAAGTACGTACTACTTAAGACGGAGTGGGGTTCGCGTCTTTGGTTCCATGTCCGTCATTGTCGGGCCTATTTGTGTAAATGGTCTTTTCGGGGGGGTTGGGCACGTCATGCTACGTGTCGCTGCTCGTTTTGTAATGTCCAGTTTTTGTATGTATAGTAAGTAGGAAATATACTAGGTGTTTAGGTGAATATAACGAAGCGGCGTCATAAAAACATGAGTCGAATTATTGGAATATATGTATTTTCTTTAATTGTACGTTGCGTCCTTGCATGCACATAAAGCCTGAATCTAGGTTCGCGAGCTGCAGCTTAATGTGATACAGCTGGACCCAGACAGACGAAGGTTTCTACCTCAATTGCCTATCGCTCTTTTCCCAGGACATATCCACGCTTGGTTTGGTAGTCAGCAAGCAGTGTTTATTCTTTCAACTCAGTATATTGGGTAACGTGTAATTCAAGCACTGGCTTGTCGTGCATAATGACTTATCACCATGCTGCATCAGATTAGGCTGTATGGTATAGTATGACGTCACAAACAGCTGACGTAGCAACAAGAATCTCCAATTAGGGCTTTGTTGCCTTCTTGGGTTCTGCTCGAAAGTATCATCGCATCATTGCTCCAGGTCTTTACATTGAGGTGTGAATCGGATAGGACCTAGAGGCCGAAACAAGCTCTAACAAGGAAGATGATCGGCGGTTGGGAAGACGGGTGTCAGAAGGGATCGAAGGTATCGTGCCCGAACGTATATCCACAAAATCAAGATGTGGTTAGTGGATATTGGATGGTAAACAGAAGGAAGCTCCCAGCGGCACTCAGTAGATGACGGTATCCTCGGCAGCCTCCTCTACGACATCTTCTCCATTCTCGTCTTCATCATCCTTAGCAGGCTCCTCGGGGACGATGTCACGACTTGCATCCCTGCCATCCTGCATATTCCCGGTGGCGTGTTCATCCCTTACTTCCGTGGTGGTATTGGGATTGTCAGGATGTTGGCGGTCTATTTCCATGTCCTCAGGCGGAGCAGTGCTGTCATTAGTGGCACCATTGGCGGTGGATGTTGCGTGAGGTGCATCTGCATCATGGCTCTTACCAGTCTGGGAATCTGTTGCATGGCTGTTCATTTCGTCGGCAGCGTCCCGCTTCCGCTGATTATCCGCGTGTTGGCGAGCCTCGTACTCAGCCACCTCGTGTCTGATGATGTCTTTGGCTTCGGCTATTTGATCTTGTATGCTGTCGTCTTCGTCGGGACTGGTTTCCCAGGGTTTATAGTACTGGACCGGGAATTAGCTTTCAAGAATGAGCAACTGGCTCATGCGACAACGTACGAGACGTGGTTCTGTCTTGGTCTGAAGGAAGTGGGCCATGCTGAGGAGGTTGTTATGACGGATGCGCATCTAAAAATGGTAAGCCCTGGTTGAACAGAGTGTCATGTGTTGCCGCGTCTTACTGATTCCCTCTCGAAACGCTTCTGTTCTATCCATCGCTGCTCTTTTCGCCTAGCTGCGCGCTCAGCCCTCCTCTGTTCACTCTCGTGGTCTTCTTGCTTGCGTTGGGCCAACTGTCTCTGCTCGATTTCGAAGCGGCGTTTCTGTGCAGTGGTAGCAGTGTTCTGTGAGAGCGCTCCTAGGACGGCGCCGAACAGCCTGCGCTCTCGCCCCCTCTCGCGGCGCACTGGGGCAGGCTTGGTATCTCTGGAGCCGGAATCACGCCTATCGTTGTCGCCGGATGCATCGTCGGCTTGGATTCGTGGTCGCTTTGCCGGATCGTCTGAAAATGACTCTTGGCGTCTTTTCTGGCTGTACACGGGCGAGGCTGGCACTGAGAGTTCGTCGGGAACGACTACGGCGGACGCAATAGAAGCGTCCATTGTTACATGGAACCCAGCTAGGCAGACTTTTCTATAGTTGTGATGTGCTATATGCCCTGCAACGAAGCCAGCATGCCACGCGTCGTAGAAAAGAAAGGGTGAGTGAGACGAGGCATATCTAACGCGACACGAGCTTCGGCGCAGAGCAGGCGTTCATCTCCACGGGCGGCGCTTGGCTTACGCTAGCAGCGGACCCCCGAAGCTCGACTTTCACTTCTACAACTTTCTTTCTCGCGCCTCCCACTACAACATACGCCACTTGATAGAAAGAGACATAACACAACGATTCTACGAGTCTAGAAATCTCTCGCAACAGCCCCATCTGAACACGCAAACACTATACTAAGAACCAACTCACCATGTCTCGCCATCATCCGTAAGTCCACCCATATCCTCCTCTCCTCCTTCATTCATATAAACTAACAGCTCTCCTCACCTAGCGATCTCGTAATGTGCCGCAAGCAATCTGGCATATCCATCGGCCGCCTCTGCGACAAATGCGACGGCAAGTGCCCCGTCTGCGACTCGTATGTGCGCCCCACGACGCTCGCCCGTATCTGCGACGAATGCTCCTTCGGCAACTATCAGAACAAATGCGTCGTCTGTGGTGGCGAAGGCATCTCCGACGCCTTCTACTGCTTTGAGTGTACGCGCCTCGAGAAGGATAGAGATGGGTGTCCCAAGATTATCAATCTGGGAAGTAGTAGGACGGATCTGTTTTACCAGAAGAAGAATTTTAGAAATCATTGATGGGGAGTTGGGGGATGTCAGTGTGTATGTGTGTGTGTGTGTGTGTGTGTGTGGAATGGAATGGAATCATGCGTGGTGCGTTATGCGCTGACAGGGGAAGAGCAGAGGAAGAGCATGTAAAAGCGGGCATTACGATTGGGTACAGAGGCGTTTTAGGAGTCCAAGATACCTCGAGATTTTTTATTAATGGTACCTATGCCATGTTTCATCTCGATTGAAAGACTTGGTACTGACAAGTTCACAAGATCTTTCTTTGCTTCATTCAAAGTTGGGGAACCCCCCAGTGCAACAACGACATACCTTTACATCAATAGTATGGCATAGCTTAAATGTCTCTGGGAAGAGTGGACAATGTGAAGATGAATAATTCTATTCAAGCCGCCCCTGCATCTATCTAGCAGAGCTTGGGTATCATGTTCGCAGCTCCAACGTGCGCCTCCAAAAAATGACCAAAAACAAACGCCAAATCCAGACGCCGCTGGATGTAGACAAGCTTGTCAGCTAACAGCAATACTCAAAAATACGTGTTGCCTCCCAGATAAATCAAACGTGTACCAATTCTATCTGCCGAAGTCATCCTCATCTCAAAGCCCGTTCGCACCTGAATTACTAAACTTGCGCTTCTTGGCCTCGCGCTCACCCGCATCCTGCGATGGCCGGTACTGATCAAGCTTGCCCTGCATACGATACGTCTCACGCTTGATATTCTCTGCGTTGGCTAGGAGGTCCATCTCCGTGACGGGAGCCTCTATACTCTCCAACACGCTATTGACCGTACTGATGTGATTAGCGTCTTTCTTATCGTCGCGCCAGCGGGGCGTGCCGTCTGCTTCTTGTTTGTATTTCCACTGCCCACTGTCTGTGCGATAACACTCAATTATGCGACCGTCTAGACGCTGATTGAGGGATTTGAGCGTTTCCCACTCGGCCGGGGTGAGGGAAAGCTGAGCGAATATTTGGTACTTGTTTTGGTTGTGCTGGACAAGGAGTTCAATGGGGTGCGGCATTGCATCGTAGTCGGGAATCAGGCCTTCTTCGCCGTCCTCAGGGTCAATGAGGGGGAACTCGCCGAGGCGGAGCTTGAAGTCGATTGTGTTCTCGTGCGGTGGCTTCCATTTGAGAATGTGTCGATCTGTGCCAAACTGATATGGTGTGGATACACAGGTGAAGATTAGGCCATCGTTGCCGTGGCGGAGGTTTGGCAATATGTTGCTGAACATGTCCTCAAGTTTATATGCTGCATAGGTCTTCTTGCCCTTGAGCGCAAAGGGCTTGAGGTCATCCGGTCGGATGTTCTTACCAAAAGTCCTCGTCAGGTACATTTCGTACGGTTTGATGACCCAATCGTGCAACCGCCCTAACCGTTTGTCCAATGTTCTCCCCGTGACATTCTGCTCGTTGACTGCCAAACAATCAAAGACGTAAAAATTCAACCGCGGCGCAGGCTCGTTTGGATACTGGTCATGCACTAGTTCGCCGTCTAGGATCGTGCCGTACAGAAAGGGCTCGGGCTCGTTTGGGTGCATGTAATGCGGTATCCGAAAGGGCGGTCGTACGTCGTAGTAATTGTTCTTGCGGTCAATCAGAAAGGTTAAAGGCTCAAAGGCACCTGTCGGCCCCTCCTGCCAGTGGAGGAAGAGAAGACAGCGCAAGCCGTCTGTCTTCTCACACATGAAGTATTCGTTCCGCTGAAGCTCGGCAACATGTTCGCGTGCAAACGATACGGGCTGGGCGCCTGGAAAGCGCACGTTGTCGCGTTCGAGAAGGTCCGCGACAGCTTGTTTGAGTGGTTGCGCTTCATGGTTGGGTATGAGGAAGCCTGGTATCTGTGGCGGGGGCGCATGTGACGGTCCCGAGGCCGGCATTCTGAAGAATATAGTATGCTTTCGTGATAATACCCGGGTTTGGGTATCGCGTGTGCGTTATTAAGAAGGTGAGAGTAAAGTTGTGGAGAGCAAGCTGAACTGTGTTCGCGACTACTCCAACCAGGAAACTACGCGCCAAGGTTTACCTACATAGGCAGGTCCAGTTATGTAAGCCGGAATGGTCAGCCACGTTGCGCCGTCAAGGTCTCTCCTATGAAAAAAAAAGTATTGTTATTTCGAAGAGTCAAAGAATTACTAGCTCGTCTCATTTGTATTCTCAAGTTCTTGATCACGGTATGACGGGTGGTTATTAAGGCCTCTGACTCGCGACTCAGGCACAGAACTTGGTATGGTCACTGTATAGATTACACCTATGGTAGTAAATAGAACCTGCATAAGTTATCTTAATTGGTAATTTTTGGAACGTTGTTGTAACCATGTGAAATATCTATGCCATATTCACAATTCGCCAAGGGAAACCCTTCGTATGAGTTACGATATCTTTTACTCTGGTTTCGCATTACACCTGCTGTCTTCATTACATTACTCATTTGACTGAAACCGAAATGCCGTGAAATAACGCCTTTGAAAATCGAGATAAGAACCGCCTCCGAATTTTCCCTGTTGTCCATGTAATAGTCCGCTTGTCCATCAAATTTTGGTCCGTCATCATGCACTTGTCCTACTTCCCGTTACCTGGAGGATGGCACCTAGGCGCAACCCAATAGAGTCCTTGTGAGTGGTCGAGTAAAACGAAGGAAATATACAGTCTTGCTGTCGTGTCACTTGGTAGAGTGCCGTGATAACCCTGACACATTTACTCCCATTGGACACCTGCCGAATCGTGTGCAGGCCCATTACGCAATGATTGAGGTGGATTGAAGTGGTACTATGTCTGTCCTTTGACAGCCGTGGTTTGAAATGATCTGCCGAATAATGGCACAGATACATGGTCGGCCTAGCTAGATATTCGTTCATATACATTTCAGACTTCCAGGGTGTCGTCTTCACAGCATATCCGCAAGAAACAGCAACCTCGGAAGTCGTGAAGATCAACTGGTTTACGATGCAGTATACTCTGGGGGAGGTACTGTGTCTGCGATAGGTGGTGCCATGTGCCTTGACCCAAACTCATGTATTGATGGGGTAGTTGCTAGCGGCTGAGCACCCCAGCTCACATTAAGGTAGTGAGGTGGTTCCATAGGATCCACCTCTTGATACGCTGGCCTAGGCTCTAGGTCGTATACTAGAAAGCCATCCTCAAGCTCCGATAAGTTTGCCACCCGTGGCGCTGTGGTTAGGTAAACGGGTTGGGTACACACAATGCTAGACCATTCTCGATCGGCACATTTGCCAGTAATCTCGATTTGTAACTCGTACTCCAGATTCAGGCCATAGGTTGTGAAACTTGGGGTAAAATCGTGGCCTGTAAGCTTGACATTTGCTATATCTAGCAAGGAAAGTCCATCGTATAGCAACCTTCCACTTCCCTTTTCGTACTTCTTGTCACAGAGCATAATGTGACCCCTTTCTGCATGCACATGTTGTTTCTTTGGAGGACGGGCTGATGGATCACCGGGCGTGAATACGTTGAAGACAAAGCTCAACTGAACTTTGAGGCGGCGTATGAACAGATCAGGTGGGCTCGCAAGCGATTCGGAACGCTGGAGGTGTTTGATACTGATGACAACGGGAACTTGGGAGCCAACGACTAGGACACGAGCAGGAGTCGCGGATATACTGAATTTGGCATAGGGAATCTCGTCCGAGCCCTGGAAGCCAAAGAGCAGCTCTTTATCGGCCAGCTTCTCCTTGATCTTTTTAAGCTTTCCCGCCCTCTCTTCATAGTCTTGGAACAATTTGCGCGTGCGGATAAACTTTTGGTGGCTACAGTGTTTGGGTAGGGTTGTGCCAAAGTTCGTGTCTGGTTGAAGGAGTGTGGGATGGAAGTCGGGCGGTGGTGGCGTGTACTTGAGTTCTTGGCGTACCCTCACAGGCAGACTATCCGGGTCGCTACTCTCCATGGTCACCTCAAGTTGATATACAATCTGCACATCTGTAGATGTTGCAGCACAACTCGGAGGTAGTGGAAATCCCGGAGAATGCTGAAAGCGCGGGTGATTGAACGAGTCCTCCGGATGGAGCCAATCTCGATCTGCGGGCGGTGGAAGGCTCACATGTTGCGCAAAGGTGAAGGAGAAGGGCAGTTCTGCCTTTCCGGGATTTGATGAGCTTGTGGGCAAGAGATCAAAGTTGGAGCTATTGCCTGTAGAAACGAACAAATCCTGCGATTCTCGACATAGTTCAATGTAAGTCGGCTTGCCAGAAGAATGCGGCGTGATGGAGAAGCCTCGTAGAACAATGTTGATGCGCGGAGATCGTGCTTGGGAGATGAGAAGAAGCCCTCTCACGTGATCTCCAGCCGTGTAAGCCGGCGGCGAGTTGAACAGATGGATGTAGACGGGGTTGTCTCTGCGGTTGGCTCGTCTGCCAGCGAACGGCCCCTCAGGCCCCATGGTAGTGAGTGGGTGTTTTGTGTCGCTGGGGCGATTGAATGAAACAAAGGGAACGACGCGTTATAAAGCAGCAGGTGACAGACAGAGGATGCATTGACATACGGGGGATGCAATGGCACCTCAACCCCCGGTCTCTTCCCCGGTCTCGGCGCCTGCATACCAAGCATCAGGGGTGTTCACGCATGAGCGCCAAAGTGCCATGGTCGGGGCACTGTGTGTGAATGCCATGATTGGTACGTAGGTACCGGACCAAGTGTGTAACCGGGTACAGGTGACAGCACAGCGATGAGAGGTGTGATGATTGGAGAAAATAACCCTCTTTACGGATGGAATGATGCTGCTTGATGGGATCATGTCGGGGGCGAGCATCTGTGTGAGGCGCATGGGGGAGAAATGCTTGCTATTGGGTCGTTCCGCCGGCCAGAGTGGTGCCGTCATCGATGGAGGGCGCGCGACTCGCGACTTCGCCAATTCCATCCAGGCAAAGACTGACGGCCTTTGCACAACACACACCCGCACATGTACACATTGCCAACAATGGCCTCCAGCTACATGTGCTCAGCCTGCTCACGCGCCCTGCGCAGGTCCTCTACGCCCATTTTGCAGGTACACAGCCACATTCCGCCGTGCTGGCAGCAATTGACTCTTGTAGCAATCGAATAAATTATCTCTCCGCCAAGCGCATCGAACTTTCTCCACAACCACGCCAGCCCTCTACCATGTGTCACACGCCCGGTCGGCAGACGTTAGACCAGAAGCAATCAAGAAGCCGCACCCGAGCGTGGCATCAGGCGTAACTGGACTGGCACAGAAGCTGCGCGAAAAGGCCCCGCTGATGACTGAGACCTATGTCGCATACGGCGCAACAAGAGACCTGATCAAGGAGTGCACCAAGCCAGGCGAGTATAAAATACCGCAGGCTCTGCTGAAAGGGGGCGAGATCCCTGTCGACGACAATGGCGTGCACCTGGGGGAGGGCGAGGGTTGGTGGTATGACAGTAAGTTTAGATTGTGGCACAGGTACACACGCACTTGGCTCACTCCTACACAGCCCTCGGACTGAAGCCAACCTTCTCCAACTGGGCGCAAATCACCTTTATTCACATGTACATGCTGCAAGTCCGCTTCCGCATGTTCCCCCAAACACATGCTCCGGTGTGGATCCAGCATCTCACCAACCATGCCTTTTACGCGGCTGAAGACCGTCTTGTGGTATGGCACAAATTCAATGCCAACTCCCTGCGTCAGAAGTACCTCAAGGATATGTTCTCCCAGTGGCGCGCAGTGCTCCTGTCATATGATGAGGGTCTGATGAAGGGCGACGCCATGCTTGCAGCTGCCATCTGGAGAAATCTACTCGGCGCCAGAGAGGACGTCGACTTTGAAAAGCTGGCCCAGATTGTAGGATACATGAGGAGGGAACTGAAGAGGCTGGACAATGCCACCGATGATGATGTGGCGAATGGGCAGTGGAAGTTCCGCGGCAATCCTGGAGACGAAGCTGGTCTCGTAAAGTCACCAAGCAGGTTGATGGCGACCGAGACGACCAAAGCTCGATGAAGGAATGAGAAGGAAACGACACCAAGTGTACTATATCTATATCAACTGCACGAGACACATGAACCCTCCAAGGACTCTTTTTGAGTTACAAGATTACAACACGAATTAGTGTTTGAGACACTACAACTCATAAAATATTTTCCCATCATGTAAAGTTATTCACGGGATACATATTGGTTAAGAAACAAAGAGTACGTATAACAGTCAACATTGGTGTGCTCCGTTCACAACTTGAGCATGCTCACTTAGCAGCCATACCCAACCCGGCGATTTACTGAATCTTTAGAATGCGTGTTCGAGGTTCGGAAGGCACCATTTGTCTCTCCTTCTTTGTCTGCAAAAAAGAAAATACATGCAGCGCGCCGTTACTGCACAAACACAACGACTGCCAATCCGTGAGTTGGAAGAGATGGAGTGTATGTGCCGGATCCAGTTGACCTAATAGCCAATGCGAATAGAAAGTAACTGGCCAATACACTAGGACCTTTGCCATTCTCCCGTATTCCGACACTTCGCTCTCCAAGCCATGTTTGCTTACGGGGTTGACGTCATATATGCAGCGCGACTGCTTTATCCACCCTGACAAACCACTTATCCTACAACTTGTGATCTTGTATATCCACCAAACTCATTTTCCTAAAAATCATTGTCCTTCTAGATTTGTGCCAGAATTAAAGGACCACGTGCCTGGTATGTTGTTTCTCCACGATTGGCGACGAACTGAAAGACTCCAGATCCGGTGATTAACTCATTGAAATTTCCTCCAAGCATATCGTACCTCAATGCCCCATTATTGCAATCTTCGAAGCCATCGATCTTTTGGTTCGCCACGGCGTCAAAAATCAGAAGGAACTGAGATCGTGCTCTGACCTCGATTTGCAACGCTTCAGCCCGGAACAATATCAATACGATCTGCAGGCTCCTCTGATACTGCAAGTTCGAAAGGAGCGGCGTGCCTTGGGGGTGGTACGAGATATCGCAACCGGTCTTGCAGCATCTCCGGTACGCTGATTCTCGAGCACACGATATGCCCTTGTCCATCAACGGCGGTAATCTCGAGAGCGGCATTCTGTTCTGAGATGGAAATCGATATCCTTGATGCGTCGGCACTACTTGCCCGCAGCTTAACAACCCATGAAAGTAGACCAGCAGTTGAGCTTGTCAGCCCACCCATGGGCGCTGCACGGAGAGTCAACAGTTTCATGTTGACTTCGTTATGGCCCTTCTCCACAACCACTACGAAACGGCCATTACAGGATGTTGCACCGGCAAGAACGCTTGAACCCACCACACTGTCGGGTAGCGGTTTAATCAGTTGCCGGAGGGTTTGTGGGTTGGTTTCAAAAGTATCAACTGGTACGATGAAGGTTCGGGGGAGACTTGATCCTGGCTTGTGGTCCACTGTACAAAGAATGTAAGACCTTCCCGTTGGTGAAATAATCAGAGTGGCTGTCGATATCTCATCGCGAAAAGCCTAGGAGAAGTCAGTTCTGTACGTAATGCTCGTAAAGTTGTCTTACGCGTTCGCTGCTGCTCGCATTGCAGTCAACGTGCCAAATCGGATCCAGACGCATATTTGACTTGAAACTCAATTGTTTACTGATATTCCAACAGTATAAGTGGTTTCCTGTTGACAAAGCAAAAGCCATGAGGCCATATACAGCATCGCTCCGAAGAGGCGAAAAGCCGACGATCTTGATAGCCCCATTATTCTGAGGGCATGTCAATGTTGTGCAGTGGTTCTCAACATTCCAGCCTTGCGTGTAGATATACCTGAAGACCTTGACCCCGCTTGTCCCTTCCCCGCCCACCGCGATACTCGCAGTAGCTCCACCTTCAACAGACGGAGCACCCTTTTGCGAGATAGACACTGATCTTGGAGTCCAACATTCATTTTGATCAATGCGCTGTTCCTTCACCAAAACGGGTACGCCGCCGCCATGTCGGCGGTACTCATCATAAACCAACAGGCGCCTGTGGGTGATTACAGCAAGCAAATCCTCCGACAAAGCAATACCTCGTATCTTCTCGTCTTTATGCGACATGAGAACGCTCAACTCGGCTGCGAGTGGAATCTCTCGACTCTGGTTCTCATTTCGTACGTTGTAGAGCCGTACTTGCTTGGACGAACACACAGCGACCCAGCCTAATGGCGAGACTGATGTCGCAACATCATACGGTTTGGATAGAAACCTCTGGCCAGGCCTTTGCAAGCGGGTTTCGGCATGCGAAGCAAACGAGGCTGGAAACAAGGGGAAATTCTCCACGGCTAAAGAAAAACGGCGCGTTGAGGGGTGCGAAGAACTGCTTGAAATTGACATCATCGGCGAGCGCAAAACAAGGGTGCCATGAGAACGAAGAGGAGTTGTAGAGAGTATGGCCCACGGAGAACGGTGGGCCTTGGTTGTGAAGCAGCGGAACCGCGAACGCCTGGAAGCGGACGGTCAGCCCTTGTTCTGGGGTCAGATACGGCGGCAGTTGTTATCAGTTGTGATGACTAGATCCCACTGGCATCGCGCATGCGCCTCAGCCCACGAACTCAACGTATGAACCATCGGATACGTGGCCTAGACCACAGCGGCTTTTGACGTTTAAGATGTATCCAATTAGCAGTTTCTAGCGGCGTTAGCCTCTATCTTCTATCCATAAGCGTACACCGGGAGGCCGCAGCAAGCGTGGCTGTGATACTTAAACGCATTCGCACGCCAGTCGTATTTGGCGGTGGCGTTTCTTAGTGCCATCTACCAACTTCACGTGTACAACCCGATGCAGCCGCGATGATCTTGCCCAGATTCCCACTATCCTGACCAATCACCATGGAGCCAAGTCGTGTGCCAATATACCGTTTCTATCCCGAGGTGTTCCTATTGATTGTGGCTTCAGCAGGCAGAAGCGAGGGCTGGCAAGACGGCACGCTGTGTAGTCTTGGTCTTTGGTCTCGAGGCGTGGGACCGGCGTACATCAAGTTGACATGCCCGGAAACCAGGCTGGCGGAAGGCTCAAATTGTTTCAAAGTGCTGCCTTGACTGGTTGTGGCACCCTGCTGCGGCATGCGTACTTGGGGTGTCTCACTCATAGTCCCACTCTCCACGGTCCGCCTGAACCACGTTGCAGCCTCACAGTCGCCCTGACCCGTCAGAAAGCATGGACGAGGAAGAACGGCCATTGGATCGATCACCATACTATGTCACGCATTCTGAGCACCTTGATCGTGTCCTCAGCAGGCCTCAACTTGCAGGTAAGCTGGCCATGGTTCCTGAGAAACGGCATTTTGTAACATCACAGGCATTGGAATTTCTGGCTGCATTGGCGGAGGCATCTTTATTACTTCGGGCGCCCTGATATCTACCACAGGATCGCTAGGAGCTGCTATCAGCTATGCCGTCGCAGGAGGAATCATCGCTTGTGTCATGTACACTCTCACAGAAATGGTGACATGCCGACCACTGACTGGTTCTCTCATCGACCTCCCTCACACTTTCTTGGACCCTGCATGCGGGTTTGCAGTTGCATTCATGTACGGGTATGTTTTTTTGTCATGGCTGTTGAAATCGAAAGCTGATGGGAAAAGATTGGGCAAGATTTTCGCCATGGCTACACTCACAGCGCACTCGGCAGAGCTCACTGCTCTTTTGAAGAGCGATCCAAAGCCACACTCTACGGGTGCAGAAACCGCCATCAACATTGCCTTCATTGCGTTGACAACTTTTTCTCATTGTCTTGGCGTCAAGGTTAGTTGAGACTAGTACATGATGAGGTATACCCACGCTTACATTCCACCAGCTTTATGGCAAAATCGAACGAGTACGCTATGCTGAAACCTATTTCATGGGGTCGTGTCTAATATGATGTGTCCAGGTAGTTATGTGGTTCAAGATAAGCTTGCTTGTGCTTGTGTGCGTAATGATGGTAGTGATCAACCTTGGAGGTATGCTATCAGAATTTACGATATCGTGGATGATTTTCTGATATAATCTAGGTGGCGGTCCAAGGGAAGGAAAATATTATGGAAGTGAGTGTCTGTCTTAATCAGTCACATTACATACACTGACCAGCACCACAGACTATACAACCCATGCGTTTACTCCTGATTGGAAACCGATTGGACACAATAGTACGACTGCCGATCCTCTGGCACTAAGAGGTGTCTCAGATTATGCTTATGGGATTTCTGGGCCTGGAGGTGTCCTATTTTCTTTCATGTAAGTGTTCTGTCATCGCATTACGGCAGCTGGGTTAACGATGGGTAAAGCACTTCAATCACACTTGCCATGTTCTCTTGCTTCGGAACAGATCTCGTTGCAATGACTGCAGGAGAGGCGAAGAACCCCTGGAAGGATGTGCCAATTACCATGTCCTTTGTGTACCTTGTGCCCCTCAGCATATATCCTTTTGCCATCTTCGCTGCTGGATCGAACGTTAATTACGCGAACCCGGACTTACCCAAGATATGGGCAAGAGGTGGTGGCGCTACGAGATCAGTCTTTGTCATTGCGGCACAGGAATCCTCACTTCATGGACTGCCAAGGGCACTGAACGCGCTCTTCATAGTATCAGCATACACGACAGCAAATACTGACCTGTATGCAGCCTCGAGAAGCGTCTTCATGCTCTCACAACAATATCTCCCGCATAAAATCGCCAACATATTTGGTCGGACTAACAATGGCCATACTCCACTGGCGGCCATTCTGCTATGCTCAGCCTTGGGATTCATATCACTCATTGGCCTAGCCGACAAATCGGGATCGCAACCACGCATTACGCTGTCTGAGCTCTACACAGGGACAGCAACATGCATCAATCTCTGCCTCTGTATAACCTTTTTGCGCTTCAAAGCCGGGCTCGACCGTCTGGCCAAGCGAAAGATCTTCGGCAGAAACCACCCACTGTACAAATCGCGACTCTTCAAGTCGCGCTGGCAGCCTCTCCCCGCCTACATCGGCATTATCGGCAGCGCCTGCGTAATTCTCTGGTCGGGCATCCCTCCCTTTGTAATCCTCGTCACAAAAGGTAGCCTCACCTCAGCCGAAAGCCTCAAATCAACAATCAGCCTCGCCTTCGACGTGCTCGGCGCATACATTGGCCCTGTCCTCTTCGTCTCCCTCTACCTAATCTACAAATACATCTACCCCCGCACCTCGGCCGTCGACATTCGCAACCTCACCGTCGAGGACTACGTCCTGCAGGACCTCTCGTACATCGAGCTCGAGGGGCCCGAATCCGTCCCGCATATCCCGCGGCCCCGCTTCGACTCGTACGAGATGGACGGCCAGAACGACGGCGTTGCGAACAGTCCCGTACATGCAATGTTCCAGGATCCGTTCAAGGAAGAGGGCGGCGCATGGAATGTTAATGTTAGTGCGAATCCCGATTCGGACATGCAGGAGGAGATGGAGGCGGAGGCGGCGCGCAGGAATGAGAGAGCGAGGATTAGACAGATTCTTGAGCGCAGGCCGATGAGGATGGGGCGCGGGTTTTGGAGGGAGGTGTGGAGTTTTGTCAAGACGGATAAGGAGGAGTAGGAATCGTTCTTGTTTTTTTTGTATTTCGTAGCGAATCAAAGTCATGGCATATCTACTTCATCTTCACGAGTATTATTATTATTATTATTATTATTATTTTTCTTTTTAAGAAAAATTGCTTTGTGTTTGGTGTAATAAGACGGTCTTTCTCTGGAGAATGAATTGGGAAGAACTTTCTTCCAGGGAGCTCTCTTACCTTAACTTTGTGATACGGGCCGACGAGATGAGCAGCGGGTTTGCATCGGAATGTGGAGTGGTCGCACGTACTTACTGTAGATGTGAGCGCGGCCGGTCGGGAAAAGTCGGGGGATACTTGCGGACTATGTCCCATAATGGATTGCACCGACGAGCAAACTTTTAATATGTGAGTATCACTTGAATGTATGGGGGAAAAGAGAGAAAGGAAGAAAGGAACAGGGCCGACGGAGTGGATTCATAGAGCTTGTATGTTTGTTAATGTTTGATATTTGGTTCTGAGATATGGTACATAATTCGTAGCCCCCCTATTTATTCCAGAGGGTTTCTCTTTGACGCCAGATGCTATGAGAAGAAAAAAAAACGCTATATGCTATGCTGAGTGATGAAAATGACGTCTGTCTCCTTCAATTCCGCAGGGCACACGAGCCGGGGACAGCTTGAATGCTGTGATGGCCGTTGCTCGTGGCCTGGTATGCAGTGTGGGGTCCATGGCGCGCAGCGCATGGATTTCCTTGGTCTCCCTCGTTCCCTTCTTCGGATGCTTCCTGTGGCGTGCGTGTCCGTTGTTGCACGCGACACTGGCCGTTTCTGCTCGGCTAGTTTCTTACAGCCTCCCCCCTCAACGCCTCGCCTTCATTCATTGCACCTCGTAAATCTCCATGGCGCGCTGGAGATCCTCAATGCTGGTCTTCTCGCCGTACGCCTCCTCGAGGATCTTGTTCCTGTCCTTGCGCGTAGTGAGCCTGGCTTCCAGACCGGCAATAGCGCGCTCCATGTCTTGCAGGCTAGAGCGCTCGCCATAGGCGTCCATGAGCATCTGGTTCTTTTGCTCCTGGGTCAGCTCTAGCGCAGAGTGGACCTTGCGGTTGGCGTCATTGAGGGCATTTGTAACACCAAAACCTATGTTAGCATTAGCATCACCAAGCGAAAGTGGCCGGCGAGGCTGCGATGATGATGCATCTCTGGGGAGATAGATCATACCGATGGCTACCATGGCCATGGTAGGGAGGTACCTGGGTCTTTGTTAGTCCTGGCTGTATACAGGTGGTGATGAAGTATATGTAGTAGACGCACCATCTGGCGACCCTTCCGAGCTTGGGGACAACACTGGCGCCTGAGGCGGCTGCCATGTGTGCTGCTGTGGCATCCTCGAGGGAAATAGCAGTGCGAGCACGTGCCGAGGTGGTAAAGAGCCTCTGGCGGACGAGGGTCGAAGTGCGGAGGAGGAAAGACATGTTGTTGGCGCTTGTGTAGTAGTAGGAATGGCGAAAAGTGAAATGGCCAGTGGGTTATGCTCGAATAGGGTAGATGTGGTTTGACTTATATCCCGTTGGTGGTGATGCTGGGTACGGGCTTGGAATGTGGATGTGATGGCCAAGAGATGAGTGTATCGGCCGCGGTTTGGTTTCTGGCAGGGAGATGTTTGATTGATGCGTGGAAAGGTGTGTTCATGCGTGGTGATGCGTGATGTGTTCCGGTCAAGGGATTCCAAGGCGCGGACTATGCAACCTGTATATACGGCGGCGTTGTGCGGGGAAATGCAGGTCACAGGCGGGCTGTGCAGCAGTGTCTCTCCACGACCACCCTCGTGTCATGCCACGAATCACAACACTTGACATCACCGGGTTCCCTGACCCTGAGAGTAGCAGACGGCCAATCCGAGCCGTTGTCGTGCCGTGTCTTCAAAATCCGGGGACGGCTGACGTACTGGTGCCGTGCTGCTGGGCGGCGGCGTGAACCCCTTCTCTCCCGGCCGCGCATCGAAGTCGACTCTCTCGCTCTGTATCCTCTCTTACTACGACTTGGCGGCCATGGCCCGTCTGGGATACGTTTCGGCTGTGAAGACGGCAGTGGCCGACATCCAATTGCACGTCAGCGGGGCGGGCGGTTACATCCTGGTCGAGTTAGCTGTGTGCTGATGGTGGTTAGACGACCGTCTTTCGATTGTGGGGTGAGGCTGCCGGTCACGAGACTCGCCGACATCCCGCCATGTTGATGTCAGCCTGCATATCCACAACCGGTTCCTCGTCCGGCCAGACACCTCGTCAATGTCAACACCATGGTTTTTCTTCATGTCTCCTATCGTCATTGACACCCGGTGCACATTTCTCCTGCAGGGTATTTAACACGTCCCGGACTATGACCGCATTGGCAGTACACGTTTCTTCATTGTCCCACTCATACCTATTTACCTGAACCTCGGCACCCACACACTGATTAAAACGAAACTCACGATGCTTGCGTGGCCAGCAGTCTTCGCATAAGACACATCTGGGTTCTTGTCAGTAGCAACATCACAAAAGATGTTGTAATCGAGGCCCCAGACTCTTCGCACGCACACGGACCATCCGAGGCGAATCTCTCATACCCCAGACCACGGTAGCTTTAAGTAGCGAATGTCAAGATAGTCGGATTCATATCATAGCATCCTGGAATTGAAATCGCCAGGGATAATGAGCCTACTGATAATGGATTGTGGGTATTTGTTCCTGGAGTAGCGAATGAGCCTCAAGCAGCAGAACAGCCACCCCGGACTTTTGTGTCGAATAAATACCACAGTCGGTCCAAATGCCTTACCTCATTGAAGCACTGACAAATGTTTCGTCAAACACGAAACATGCGCCTCGTAAAGTCCACGCAATTAGGCAACACGCCATAGCTGGTCGACAACAAAAGTATAACTTTGAAACGCTCCTCGAAGCCATCGGTTCCGCGCGGATCTCGAGTCGAAGCTCAGCCCAGTAAAGACACGGCAAGATAGTGCACATGCTAGTACATACAAACACCTCTAGGCTTGGCTTGGAACAGATCCAGTAGCTGTCGCTTGATATAATGGCCGCTCATCCGCCGTCAGATCTGCTCACCTCTACACGCGTGCACAGTATGTAGGGGTCCCGAATTTTCCAACAAGTACCAGTCTACTTGGCTGCTACGTACAGGCAAGCAAGATTTTCTCGTAATACCGTATGGCAAGCACACAGCTCGACAAGGACCTCACCCTGGACGCACAATTTTATCCATCCACCATACGACTCTCCTGTCAAGAAAATGATTTATAACCTGCGAAATTTGCCCAAACCCCCTTCCACACCGGATAGGTAAAAGCATGCTACGTTCACATCCGACACTACAAACGTGCATGCTATTAACGTCAAGATATCGAGTGCAGGCTACGGACGTAGTGGCGTTTACGAAGAGCTGCTAGACCGAGTTTGTGTCCAAATGCGAGACGCCATGTCGCAGGGTACTTTGGGACTGCAGTGCTATGGAGACATTGTGGGGGTTCATCCTGGAGAACATAAGAGATGTGCAGTGAACCCTTCCCAAAGCAAAGAGTGGCATGTTTGTTGCGACATTGTTGAGACAGCAGTGGACCCAAGGTAGTATTAGATAAAAAGTTGACTAGGTTCGCAATCGCTCACTGCATATTGGTCTCGGCTGTGTACAAAGCACGACACTGAGCGGCGTAGATGAACAAATTGATGATAGTATATAACGTTACTGCACCTCTCAGGCACACAAAAGCATATGAATACTTTGGTATTTTGACAGTCCTCTTCCTCTGTTGTGAGCGAAATGATGTAAAAGATGTCGACTCGGCAATAACCTGTCGATTGAGAAAAAGAAAGTACAAGGGAGACGCATCGCCGGTTGCAGACTTGCCTCAACCAGACCCACTGTATCCACCGGAAGCAACTGCCGTCTCTTGTGCATCCCAACCACAAAGCAGTCGGACGAATCAAATCCCAGCTCGCCCAACCAACAGCATAACCCGAACCCTTTAGGCAGAAGAGCCGCAGGTGTTTGCCCGGAATTCAGCCCCCATTTCAGCCAAGCTTTGCCGTAAAGCTTGAGTGCGGATGGCGTTGCTTGGAGCGTCGCCTACATTAAGTCAAGCATCCGATGTGCGGCTGCCGACTTGAGAAGCTGTGTGGTAGCTAGCGACGAAGCCGTGGCGACAATAGCGCAAAATCTTTGTTTGGGGACCCCATGGGTCCGCACTTCAATAATGGGTCCTATCTCTGGGGTCTCCACTGAGGGGGTCTTTGCGAGAGTCGGCTTCCGAGGAAAACAGCATGGGGAATGGAGAGTACATAACATGGAGACGCCACTGACGGACGCCAGACAAAAGATTGCTTGTCGGTCTCTTGCTCTCTTCATCTCTCCCGTGTTTCCTGTGCCTGTACATTATTGATAGTCAGGATGGAAAGCCAGCCAGTTGCGATGAATAAGGGCCTTGTTGCCGATAGCCCCAAGTACAGCGAGGACCTTGAGCATGCTGCTACTCATGGTACATATCTCGGCAAGGACGAAGCATCTCACCTATCCCAAGAGCATCGCCAATACCTGCTCCAGCGTCATGGCACACTCGATCTCGATCCTCTCCCTACCATGGGGACGGCTGACCCGTACAACTGGCCTCAGTGGAAGGCAAGTGATTCTCGACTTCTCTTCACTGGCATTCCCCTCTAACCAACAACCAGAAAATTATGAATGTCCTTTTCGTAGCTTTCCACGCCATGATGTGTGCATTCCCCGCATCCGCCATTATTCCGGCCTACGAAGAGATATCCCAAGACCTGGGTGTCAGCATCCAAAAGGCATCATACCTTACTTCCTTGCAAATTGCCATCTTAGGTGGTGGCCCATTATTCTGGCGACCTCTCTCATCACGATATGGCCGTCGCCCCATCTTCATCATCTCACTGGTCGGAAGTCTAGTATTCAACATTGGCTGTGCCAAAAGCCAAACCTACGCTGTAATGGCAACGTGCCGCGCACTACAGTCTTTCTTCATCTGTCCACCCAACGCCATCGGCAGTGCCGTCGTAGTCGAAACCTTTTTCCGTAAAGAGCGAGCAAAATTCATGGGCATGTGGACTGTCATGATCACTCTGGGCATACCTCTTGCCCCCCTCATTTTCGGCTTCGTAACATACAATGTGGGCTACCGATGGATCTACTGGATCCTCGCCATCATTAACGGCGTCCAACTCATCCTCTACTCCCTCTTTGGCCCAGAGACCCGCTTCATGCGGCACGATAAGGCGCAGCACGCGCAGTCCGGCCTCGCAGCCTACAAAGAAATGTACCTGAAATTCCGCCGCATCGACCCCACGCCCATGAGTCTATACGAATTCATATCTCCCCTCCGCCTCTTTGCCTACCCCTGCATCGTCATCCCCGCCTGCGCATACGCCATGGTCTTCCTCTTCGCCTCAGTCCTCACCACCGTCGAAATCCCCCAGCTCTTCATGGAAAAGTTCCACCTCAACGCCCAACAACTCGGCCTCCAGTTTCTAGGCACCATTGTCGGGACCGCGCTCGGCGAGCAAATAGGAGGCCACTCCAGCGACCGCTGGATGCGCTGGCGAGCAAGCAAAACAGCACCGTTACGGCCTGCCCCCGAGTTTCGGCTCTGGCTCTCGTACATTGGGATCCTGCTTACTATCTGCGGTATCACTGCTTTCCTGGTGCGCATCGAGCAGGCGGCCCCGCTGCAGTGGAATGTCACGCCCATTGTCGGTGCGGGCATAGCCGCGGCTGGAAACCAGATTGTTACCACGGTGCTGATGACGTATGCGGTTGATTGCTATCCCGAAGAGGCTGGTAGTATCGGCGTCTTCATTACATTTGTGAGGCAGATCTGGGGCTTTTTGGGCCCATTTTGGTTCCCGGATATGTTTGACAAGGTTGGGATTGCGGAGAGTGCGGGTGTGGCGGCGGCGCTGTTGGTTGGGGCGAGTTTGGTGCCTGTTGTAGTTACGCATTGGAAGGGATTTAGTAGTAGGGGACGTATGGCGGAGAGTGGTTGAGATGGTCGAAGAAAAGGAAGAAATATATAGTATTTTTTTTTGTATTTATACATATCTTTCCGTACTGTCTTCGGCTTACTTGTCTCCTAACAGTACAAATTTACTCTACAATCCAAGAACAAAGCCTCAAGATACACTGATGAATTAGAAAACTATCTTTGTATTATTCTTCAAGTTTTACAGGAATGCTCACAGCTTTGGTCCAAGTCCCTCTTTATCACACAGCTCCTCCGCCTGCGCCACAACATCAACCCCGTACACATTCGCCTGGACATCAGCGTCGGCCCAGCGGTCCGGGACCTTGCCCTTGCCCTTGCCCTCCCTGAGAGCCGCAAAAGCCTTGTCGCGCTCCTCCTTGGCCTTACCCGCGCCCAGATGCATCAGGCGGCCGCTCTCCGCCGCAAGTTCCACCAGCGCCTCCGCCCTCGGCTTCCGCAGCTTCTCGTACAGGCGCAGTGCGCGCTCAATGGTTTCGGGCCTACCGTCAGCGATGCGCTTGGGCGATAAGACAACACCGAGGACGGCACCGTCTTCAATGGCTTGCGCGGCACCCTGAGCCATGTGCGGAAGCGTCGGGTGGCATGCATCGCCTACCAGTGCGGTTGGGCCGTGGACCCACGTTGTCAACGGGTCGTGGACTCTAAGCTTCCACTCGACGACCTCGCCTTCCGGCACCAAGTTCAGCATGCGGTGGATCATGGGGCAAAAGTCGCCGTAGACGTCTAGCATGGCTTTTTTGCTGCCTCTTGTCGTGTACTGTGCGTCTGGGGCGCCGGCAAAGTTTGTGTCTGGCTGCGCGGTGGAGATGTTGTAGATTTGCTTGTTGTGGATCGGATATGCGACAATATGTTTCTTCTCGCCGATCCAGCGTGTTGCCGTGTTTGAATCAATGAGCTTGAGTAGCTCGGGATCGTGCTCCAGCTGCGAGCGGTTCAGCATGATGCGGTAGGCGGCTTGGCCAGAGTCGCGGGCAGAGCCTGTGTGCCCGAGTTCCTTGAGCATGGCAACGCGGGTATTGCTCTTGACTCCATCGGCGCCGAGGAGAATGTCGCACTCGACCTGGTAGGGCTCGAGACTGCCTTGAGATGGAGTAATTGTGAATTTGGGCTTTGGGCCGAAGCGGAAGTCGGATGCTGTGCAGCCCAGCTTGAATGTGATGCCGCTCTCCTTCTTGCAACCTTCGTACAGACCGTTTGCAAGACTGGCTCGGTGGCCAACCATGTGTGGGTATCCGTACTTTTCCATGACATATCCTAGATCTACACACGCCAGTTCCTTGTCTGTTGAACCTTCCCTAATAGATGTGTTTGCGCATACGACGGCTTCGTCGCGGATTGGGCCCCAGCAGCCTAATCGGTCAAGGATGCGGGCCATGTTGGGTGCTAGTTGAATACCTGCGCCTACGAAGCCCATTCCTGGAGCGTTTTCATATATCGTGATGTTCTTGTGGCCGGCTTTTGCAAGGGCGAGAGCCGCGGCAAGGCCGCCCATACCTGAGATGCTATCAGTGGATGCACTCGGAATGTAGAAATATGGATTGGAGAAGCATACCCGCGCCAACAATGGCTATCCTCGTTTGCTCCGCCATGTTGTGCTTTGAGCAAGTTTAAATCGGACGCTGCGTACTTGGCTGTATAGTAGAGGCCCACTTGGAGTAAATGGTTGAGGCTGCGGTAAAGTTGTGTGTCGTTGACAATATTATGGCTGACTCGTTGGATGCCAGTTTGACCAGTATATCGAACGAGATATTTCTATGTATGGATGTACTGCACAATTCGACTTGTACCCCACAAAACCCCACAGCCTGTAAGATATGGCCAACAAGTAATATGTAAAGGAACGTCGGGTGATGTCTTAGCCGGAGCTATTGCTTCTTTTTGAGTTTATTGGGCACTGTGCGAAATGCCACACACGGTAGTTCTACTATGATTGGGTGGAGTCGGTCGGCAAATATGTATGATTCTACGCAGCAGATATCCGCCCGGCTCGAGTCCATCCAACTATCTGTATTGCGGGTTGTTTGTGGAAGCCAACCAACAGTCCATCCGCCCCCCACTGTAGGCGGGGCTACGCGTAGGGTATCTCTTGTGCCTTGCCCCACCGCCGATGCCGGGAATGCCGTCCCCACGGAGAGACGGAACCACATACCACACAATCGGTCCGATACGACTGTGCGTCATGACCACACAGCACTCTACTCAACGGGGTGTAGAATGCTTGCAGGCGCCAATCAACCGCCAGACTCCCAGGAATACTGCATGCATATATGGAACATTTCCGATTGAGCTGTTGGTAACAAACTGTCTGTTCTACACATGCTGCGTTTTAAGATCGGAGGATAGACGTCCATAGTTCACACCGCCTGACAGTCCAATTTACCATTCAAGATGGCTGACATCTGCGACATAAACGCACCAGTTAGACGCCAGCTAGCTGAATACAAGCCCATCAACCCGTGTGGCCGTCTCGTCGAGAGCACACCGACATCAGTTGTACGGGTATGCAATGAGGGGCCGGATGCCCCGCGCTAATGTTTGACGCGGAATGTGGGGACATTTCTCCTGTCACTGCAGACAATACCATCACTCCAGCCATTGCATGAGGTGCCAGTACCAAGCCGTCAGCCGTCATCTTTATTCTAGCCATCATTGACCGGCGTCTTGTGGGACACGCTCTCGAGAAGCCCCAACCTCACGCAACTGGGAAAAGCGTTCATCCGGCAGTTGTGTCGAGGCTAGCTGGAGCTCCTGCTGACAGTTGAGACGTCGATTGCGTGGACTTCGGAGCCAGATTTAACCCCTTGAACCGTTTTTCTACATTGTGTGCCGCGGACTGCACTGTAATGCTGACCGTTGTGCCCAATACGCGATAAGAAAAGACCTTTGCCTGTGCTCTGCAAAACCAATACCGCACAGATATGGCAGAGCGACGAAGCTCTTTTGATCAAGCCTCGGCTGGCTTTCGGGCCCATTTGCCAGATCTATCCAGTCCACGCTTCACCACAGCTGCCAAACAAGACATATACCAATATGTCCAGTCAATGCAAGACAACCGTGCTCCGCCGTGGTTGTACGACTTGACAAAGGTATGGGAAAAGCTGTTGGAAGAGCCCTACACAGGTGTTACCAACGATGGCAAAGTACGACCAAATCTTTTCAAGGCCCAAGACGAAGGTGCCAATGTCCAGGGTGCGTTTGAAAAAGCAGGAGACCTCTTAAAGGGCCTGGATGATGAGAAGAGAAAAAAGTTAGTGTATCCGATCAACGCGAGAGAATGGAGGGCATGGAGCAACCCAGAGTTTCTACTGAGGCCATTTGGACTAAGGCTCGAGGAAGGTAAGAAGGTCTTTGGGCAAAAGTCTTGATACCGTACTAATATTAACAGTGCCGGAAAGCACTGCACAGTCAATCCTCGCCGTGGTCGAGGCGTCCTTGTCGCCAGAAGGCTACCAAAAGGCACTATCTGCTATGCGCATCAATCATTTTCTAGGAGAAGTCGTCAAACTCCCCAATATCCTGAATAAGTACTCGTACAATTTTCTCTTGTTCGGGACGCCCTCTATATCCGCGTCCTCACCATGGGGCTGGCTCCTTTACGGCCACCATCTCGATATCGCATGCTTCTTCAAGGGGACTCAGGTCGTCATTACTCCCTCTTTTACCGGCGCAGAACCCAACATCATCGACCAAGGTGAATGGAAAGGAACCCAGATCCTTCACAAGGAAGGCAATCTCGGGTTGAAGCTAATGCAGAGCTTGAGTGCAGAGGAGCAGCAAAAAGCTCAAGTCTTCAAGAAGATGAGGGACGAGGGCATGAAGCAAGTTTACGGCAACTCTAACAACGATGAGAGCAAGCGTGACGAACTCATCACGGACACGTGGGGCCCAGATGACCAGCGTCATCGCTGCGGCGCCTTTCGAGACAACCGGGTTGTTCCTTACGAGGGTGTTTTAGTCTCTTCGCTCAACCCCACTCAACAAGACCTTATCTTGGCTATTTGTCACGAGTTCCTTCTTTACCATCCATCCAACGCTCGTGAGCTCAAACTTAAGCAGATCAAACAGCATCTTGACGAAACATACTTTTGCTGGATCGGTGGCTTCAGCGATGACGACGCGTTTTACTTCCGGATCCAGAGCCCGGTTATCCTGGTGGAATTCGATCATCATTCCGGAGTCTTCCTGACAAACAAGGAGCCGGCCAAGTATCATACGCATACTATTGTGCGGACACCTAACGCGGGAGATTACGGTCAGGCCATTAGGGATAGTCATGAAAAACTAGAATAGTTTGTTTGTGCTGACATCGGGACCCGAGTCAATCAGAGACAGCGGTTCAAAAGGACAAAACAGTGTTGCGTGCCGTGTCAAAGTTCGTCAGCTGACATTCTCCGAATCCGTCCGAACGTGATATCTGCATCTTTCTACTCAATTTTTCCGCCGGAATTTTTGCATTCTATGAGAATACGACAGTTAGGTTCAAAAGAATCGTCTGCCACAAGTCATGCACTAAAATATACTGGAGTCTCCGCGGGAGAGGAATAGGCAGGCAATCCTTCGTCCCTGACATGGTGTGGGTCCAACTACAACACCATAACCAATGGCGGGCCTAACTGTGCCGGGATATCCCTAAGCGGCTTGACTACTGGGCGCAGCTAGCCTCGAAGGAAAACGCACCTCTTATCGACTTCTACTTGTGGTAACCCCCCGGGAGGGGATCATAACTCGGTTGTTTGCATCCGCAGCAAGATTGACAGAAACTCATGCAGGGCAGAGGGATAGATCCATGCCATGGCTCGTATACGCTATTTGCGAAACGTGTGGGATTCGACATTGGATGCCTTGGTGGCAATCCAATCTCTCTATTCACTCAGCGGAGATTGAGAGATAGATGATCCTTTTAAGCCCACTTGGCTCCCCGCCCTTGCCACGCGGATACCCCAGATACACCTTTTCAAAGGACCTTTTCGCTCCCTCGATTTGATATTCACGGTCGTTTCCTCCACCCCACTCGTTCATCTAATATAATATAATCAACGTACTTAATTCGTAATCATGTCTTTCAGCATCCGCAACACCATTGCCCTGGGCGCATTATCCGCTCTCGCCGCGGCACAAACCACGCCGCCCAAGCTGGACGCAACCTGCGCCGATGTAGTCATCTTCATGGCTCGCGGAAACGATGCTCCTTACCGTGATGGACGCACCTTTCCGTTTGTCGAAGCAACCTGTGGCAAGTTGATTGCCGAGGGCAAGACGTGTGACCACATCGATATTCAGTTCGACGTTACCCTCGGTGGGGACTACTGCGCTCAGGTGGCAGAGGGAGCCCGCAATGGTATCTCTCAGATTACCGCCTTCAGCCAAAAGTGCCCTTGCACACACATAGTAGTTAATGGGTACTCTGAGGGAGCCCATGTTGTTGGTGATGTCTTGGGTGGGCCAGGTGGTTGCTCCTTTGTGAGCAACGGTCTTGACAGCACCTCTCCTGCTGGCAAAGCCAGTAAGTATACACAGATTTTGACTTTACTTTTGTTCAGTGCTGACTTGGAAAAGTTGCTGCGGCTCTGCTGTGGGGAGATGTCATGCACACCGCGAACCAACCTTACAATGTCCTCGACGGTGCCAGCAAGCAAAAGAACCCACGCGCGCCTGGAGACCTCGCCCTTTTGAACCGCTATGCACCCGTCCTTCGCTCTTACTGTGCAGCTGGAGATCCAGTTTGTGCTGGAGGTGAAATCGTCGCTGATCACCTGAACTACTTTGAGCTCTACACCGACGAGGCTTCGTCCTGGGTCGTGTCCAAGATCAATGGCGTTGCACCTCTGCCTTCTTGTGCTGTGTCCAGCTCTTCCAGCTCATCTTCCGTACCTACTCCTACCGCTAGTGTTTCCGCTTCATCTGTCGTACAGACCCCTACCGCTACTGTGTCTGCTTCGTCTATTGTACAGACCCCTACCGCTACTGTGTCGGCTTCATCTGTCGTCGCACCCATTGATTCCTCGAGTGCGGGTGAGCCTTACGTTCCTACCGCTTCCGAGGGCGCAGAGACACCATATCCGACTTCCCCGGCCACTGTTTCTCCATTCCCTCCACCAGTCGACTACGATGCGTGTGTCCTCCAGGTTCACGTAGAGTATGTCTACGCCCACATGTAAGTGTGCGAGAGATGAGACGTGGAAAATATCGGTTGTTAGTCGTGGTGATTGTTACAAAAAGCGTGTAAATAATACATAGTTGCAAGTCCCGAGGAAATATCCTGATTTTACCAACGCAAGATTGTGTTACTGGACTTGGTGCTGGTGCCTGCGCATAAAATGCCGAGTATGATTTCATGATGCCGTAAATATTTGCGGAGATTATCTGAACCAAACCAGACATTTCAATATTAGTTATTGGGTTTGCTGGTAACATATGTCGACTATGTGAAGAAGCATTATTGTCCCATAGTGAAGGTGGGGGCGGAGACTTTGTAATGTGAAGAGGGCAACAAACATATGTGGAGAAGTCGAGTTTTCATATGACCAGAGCAAAGAAATTCAAAAAAAAAGGATGTGACACTACTGATGCAAAGATGAACGTCAAAGCCGTTAAAACCGTTGATATCGTAGTAACGCCGTAAAGCGATCCCTGCACCCCCGCGAACTTTGTGAACCTCACGTCACCTTTACACCCGAGCCCAGCTCTACTACACTCCACAGCCCGAAAAGTGGCACAGTGTGCAGCACTACAGCACCTAGAAGTAACAGACAACTATATATTCGTGACAGGCATCTCACCCAAACTCTCCAAACCTCAGTTCTCCCAACAACCATTTCACAACACCATGTACCGAATACGACCACCTTTGCCCACCCTCAGCGCAACCCGCGCACCTCTCTCACTCCCACTGCCAGCCCGCCCCCGCTTCTATCAACAACTCCCCTTCAACCAGGGCCCGCGCCCACAATACAAGCGCTTCTCCAGTTCCTCTGGCGGTCTCTCCGGGCTTCTCTACCGCTGGGCCGCACGCCCAACTTTCTACCGCGACATCGGCATCCTCAGCGCCGGCGCCGGCGCATTCTACCTGTACAATCTCGAAGAAGTGCCCGTCTCGGGCCGCCGCCGCTTCAACATCATACCGGCGGAGCTCGAGGAAGCCATTGGGCGCTCGTCGGTCGACCAGGTGCGCGAGCAGTACGCCGGTCGCATCCTCCCGGACAATGATATGCGCGTGCGCAAGGTGAAAAAGGTGCTGCAGCGCTTGCTGCCGTATGCAGAAGGCGAAGGCCTCCAAGGCCTCGATTGGGAGGTTACGGTTATAGAGAGTCCGGAGCAGAATGCGTTTGTGGCGCCGGGGGGGAAGGTGTTTGTGTTCACGGGTATATTGCCGTTGTGTCGGGATGAAGATGGGATTGCGGCGGTGCTGGGTCATGAGATTGCGCATGTGGTTGCGCGTCATACTGCGTTCGTTTCCCCCTCCCCCGCTCCCCTTTTTCCTTACACACTGTAAACTGGAAACTTTTGGTGGCTAACGCACAATGAATGGAAAATAGAGAACGCATGTCCCAAGCTCCACTCGTTCTCATCGGCGTCCTCGCCCTCTCCCTCTTCGATATATCGTTCTACTCCGGTAAACTCCTCATCGACCTCTTTCTCTCCATGCCCGCCTCGCGCAAGCACGAGGCGGAAGCCGATTTCATCGGCCTCATGATGATGGCGCAGGGCTGCTACAAACCGCAGGCTGCCATGGACTTTTGGGCCCGCATGGAGAAAATGGGTAATGGGGAGCCTCCGCAGATACTGAGTACGCATCCGAGTCATCATAATCGCGAGGAGAAGATCCGAGAGTGGTTGCCCAAGGCGTTGGAGAAGGCTGAGGCGAGTGAGTGCTATAGCACGAGTCAGTATGGTATGTGTTTTGATCTCGTTTCACCTTCTTGTTATCATGTATTTTTTTTCCCTCTTTTTTTTCCTTTGGTTGTCGAGGAAATATCAGACTAACGACGTATTACAGCAAATCAATTCAGCTCTGCATTCAGTGGCCTTGGGGGGTGGTAATACGGCCGTTGCCGTGCCTTGTATTCTAAAGAGTGACTGTACAAAACATTAACGATTAACTAATGATGATAATGATCTACGGTAGAGGATGCCTTGTTGCCCAAATTCGCCGCCCCTGCACCGACTAATTCAAGCTTCTGCTAGGTATCATAATGTCATAATTTTTTGTACTCTATCCCGGTCGGGTCGCCAGTCTGGACCCGCGTCAGCTTTTGGACGTTGGGCGGCTTTGCTAAATCGACACTCAATCTACTCATGGCTTCGTCCTCCTCTGCCACGGCCGACAAGTCGTCGTTGTACCGATGCCTACCCACATCCTCGCCCACATCAATCTCCTTGTCTACAATTACGCTTATATTAAGGTCGATGCCCTTGCCCATTTCCTTTTCCCGCACCGTCAACCTCTTTTCTTCTTCAAAGTCAAAGCTCTTGCGATTCTTCTCCAAATCCTCACTTCCGTCTCTGCTCACTAAATCTTGCTCTGCCCAGCTCTCAGGGTACCCAGGTAGGGTGGACATCTCCGAGGGTGTGGCGGGCCGACTGGCCGACTGGAAAACGTGCCTGAACAGGGGATAGAGACAAGGAAGAGAGGCTGCGAGGATGCTGACGTCGACTTCGATTTGCGACCAGACTGGAACCCAGGCCCAACCCCTGAAACCGTGTTAGTAACAGTAAATAACGCATACAACATGCAAACCCTACCAGCTGTAATCGTTGTCCTGCCAGCCCTTTCCCGGTTTGATTGGCCTGCCGGCCATGACGATTTCACATAGCCGCATAGTGCTGGCTATGACCGGTATCAATCCGACAGAGAGGACGACTACCAGAGCCGCTACAGCGATCGTTAGCTATGATTGGATACAGACCCAGCAATGGCAAACGTACTGCGTTGTCTACGATTGAACTTGAAGAGCCGTAGCAAGGGCAGGGGGAACATGAGAAGAACAATGTCGGTAGCGACGTTGATGGCAGCAGAGGTAATCATGAACTCGGCCACATCGATGCATCCTCCGTCATTGACGTGCACAATGTCCCAGATGCGAGATACGGGTACACACAGAAAGAGTTGGGCCTGAGCAATGCCACTGTTAGTATGGGGTAGCAATGCGATGTGCACTGGACGAGGCGAGCAACGAGAACGTACCGTGAAAGAGGAGATGCCAAATGCAGTCATGAAGCCTGCGACTGTCCATACAGCAGGAGCCTGAACAATCCACGGTAGACCTTTTCTCCCATAGCCTATCCTATAGTATAAGGCAAGTATGCTCATCTTGACCGCCCTGATATTTTTTTTGAGTTAGGGGTTGGACTATACATGGTAGACAGGAGATGCATACCAGTTTGCGACAAAGTATATGAGCATGTTGATCCACTGATACTAATGGGCAGTCAGCAGTGTACGTGGGGGCAAGAGCGATGCGAAGCATACCATGAGCATGTGGTTGAACTGCTCGATGCGCAACTCGGTGGTATGGCGACCCTGGCCATGCTCGACCTGCAGTATTATGGTGACGGTCTGGGCAGCCCCAAGGACCGTGGCAAGGGCAATGAAGACGTCGTCGAGGCCGAATCTCTTGACAATGCATGCACGTGTAAAGCAGCTAGACAGGGTTAGTATACAAGTCATGCAGGGTGGGTGATGTATCTGTGTATGTACCGGAGGGCGACAAACGTCACGGCAACGGTGTACATGGCGAGGCTGACTCTGGCCAGCAGCGGACCTTGGTCATGGCCGTTGGCAAAGACAATGTGGCCCATTGCGTGTAGGGTAGGATGGTGGGAGACGCAAGGCGAGGAGTTGGGACATGGGGTTGTGATGGATGGATGGATGGACGGATGGCGAGCAAGGGACAGGGACAGGAACAGGAGAAGAAGGGAAAAAGGCAAGCGGCGATGGGGCAGGCGTGCGATGGCGCCGATGGGGCCTATTTCAGATCTAATACAGATGTGAGGTCAGCAGGAAGGATGGCGACACTGGCAATGCACCATGTCGATCAGCGCGTTGCAAACGTTTCCGCCGCATGATTGACGCGGCGTTATTTGAAACGCCAGGACGAACTTCCAGAAGCAAGCGGTGCTATAAAAACGCGAAGGAGCTGCGTGGCCCGTGCGGCAGCCTCGAAATTTGAGCGTGGTGAGTGACACTGGTGTGACGAGGCCTGTCGCAACGCCGCTCTTGAAACCATGTTTGGGCCGACGGCTCCCAATGGCATCGCAGCCAGGTGCGTGCGAAGAACCCATGGCCTCAGGTGCCTGCAGCGGCAGCGGGGGTTGAATGGCTCGACTGTTTCCTGCTCATCGACTGTACACAAAGTAGTAGGATAACAGGACAGGCCTTGGGACCGAGGGTTGGACCGACGAATACGACGGACCATCCCGGCCCTACTTATTCACGTCGAGTCGAGTGCATCAAGAGCCTCTCGTGCGTCTCAAAAAGGGCGGAGAAACAACGGAAATTTTGGCTCCCAGGTTCCAGGTCACGGATGGGCCGTGGCTGACATAATCCGCTGGCTGGGCCCTTCTGTCGAGCTTGCAAGCAGTAAGTACTCACGGCGACTGCAACCGACGAGGCCAAGCAGTTGGCAGCATAAACGTCTGGCAGCATGGGCTGATGTAAGTACTGCGTATGTACATAGTGTAGCCGGGTTTAGGGGCGCGAGAGTGGCAATGGTTTGTGCTAGTTGTGAATGCGCTGTGGGTGTTCGGCATGGGCCGGCGGCGCAGTAGCCGTGCGCAAGCACTCAGGGCGACTGGTATGCTGTGGCATGCCTGGGGGATGGAGGTTGTTTTACTCTAGTTTCCAGGGAATGAAGGAACAGAACAGGCTGGTGGAGAGAAGGGCAGGATGGTAACTAAGTAATGCCTGGGTGGACGAGGGAGCGAGGACGAGGGGCTTTGGAGGGGAGGGGGGGAGGGGGGAGGCGGCTGATCGGTGCGGGGGAAGCCTGATCAGGCTACGGGTGGCTGACGAGGCTGCGGCCTAGTGCTGCCAGTCCACACGTTGTACTCACGTCACCTTGGAAGCATCAAAAAGCACTGCATATTCTGCCTGGAGCGGAGCGAAGGGGCCAAGGGGCGAAAGGGGAGGGGGGGAGCCATATGTGGCGCTGCACAAGAT